CCCCAAAACCCCAAAACCCCAAAACCCCAAAACTCCCTAAAATTGCTTAAAAACCCCAATTTTTACTCATCAGATTCTTCTTCAATATAATCCCTCACAAGGTGCTCAAATTTCGGATTCTTGGCTATATTCCTCAACACCTGGACCGCTGGGTTCTCTACAAATTTCTTCCTGGCCACCACCACTATAACCTCGATCATATCCTGTGGCAAGTCCTCCACATAATCCTGGTTCCTAGTGTACCTCTCCAGTGCGCCCATCAGCTCAAGTACGACCAGATCACTCTTATCAATAAATTTCGAAATCGCGAAGACCAGCAACTTCGCGATATTATAGCTCTTATAAGCCATAACGACCTTGTCAGGATCGTTCATCATCATTTTCAGAATTTTAGCTGCGTTCGCGACCACCTCTTCATCCTCGAAAATGGAGATGAAGTCTAAGATCGTGTTGAAGGTTTGCTAGAGGGATTAGGGATCAAGGAATTTTGGGGCTTTTGAATTTTGAAGTTACCTTAGACTCAAGGAAAATTTCAAGTGCGACTTTGGACCGCAAACACATTGTCATGCAGCGTAAGGAGTACTTGAGGTAGACTTTGAAAGCGGGATTGGGGTTGTCTTCGCTCACCGTTTGTGTTTGGATGGTTTTTCAGAGGAGTTCAACAGCACCCCGGTTTACACCGAGGTCGAGGTTTTGGTAGTTGACTAGGAGAGGTTCGAGGATATTGAGTTTTGTGGCTATTTTGTTATAGAGAAGATTTGGAGGAGGTAGAAAAGCGTTGGAGATTACCTAATCTAGTTTCAAATTTATTTCAAACTTTTATCATTTGCAAAATTCTTTCATTCGATCAACGACTTTTCAATCATATCAAGAACCAAGATGATCGAATCATTGCCATGCTCATAATTTATAAAAGAATCTTTATGTGGGCCTCTCAAATATGTGTTCTTAAAAGTCATGATTCCATTATAAGCATGATCGGGTGTTAAGAATTCAGAATATCTAGCGAACCACTCTAAAGCTTCCATTTTCCTTGTAATTGAGAGGTCATCTGCTTCTATAATCCTTTCTTGGTCTACAGCATGTTCATCTATGAATTTCTGGTTGAAACTCCAAAGTTCCTCTGTCTCTTCTATAATCAGATCCATTTTCTTCTTCATATCTTTCGAGCTTCCTAGGCTTTCATTAACTTTGTTCTGGACGATAACATAAATCTGAGATTTGAAATTCTCTAATAATTTTGAGTAATCATCTGCGATACTTTCAATATTATGACTCTTCTTCCTCAAATCAGAATGGAGTCTGTACAAATCTGAGAACTTGCCAGATGACTCAGTAGTTATCTCAGAGATTCTCTTGGTAAGATCCTTGATAGCCCTAGTACTATCATTGACATCAGCCTCTCGCTTAATCTCAGTGTCTCTCTTGAAGACTTCAAGGTCTTCTTCCAGGATGGCTAGCACTTCTTCGCACTTATTTTAAAGACTTTTCATGAGCAGGGAAATCAATTTGCTTCCAAGGGTCATTTTCTAGAAATTAGTTCTTAAAGGATTACCAATAGTCTTGATAAGCAACTTCTTGGTCTCATTCATAATACCCGAATTCCTTTTGACTTTTGTATCCAACTTCTCAACGACATCATGAGTGTTCTTGATGATGGAGTCTGACTTATCAACCTTAGCACGAAGGATCTCAAACCGTTCTTCCATATTATCCAAATGTTTCTTATGAACATCGGAGTTATTTTCAAGAGCTTCGATCCGGCTCATTATTTTAGAGTTGATGGAAAACTCAATGTCTTTGATCTTATCTGATACGAACGTTGCTATCATCTCTTTCAACATTTTGTTACTATCCACTAGATCTTGTTTAGAATTAGATGAAAAGGGTCAGAAATTACCTATAGCATGCTCTGTGTCAGATTCTAATCCTTTGAAGTCCTGTTTTAGGCCTTTTACAATGTCAAAAATACCACTCATTTCTTGATTCTTTTCATCTAAAGATGATTATTTAAACTATAAATCAATCAGGTTACCAATTTCAGCTATCTGATTATGGTTAACAGCAATCTTTCCGCTCAACTCATCCTTAACTTGATCGATAAGTGCTAAAATCTCCTGAAAAGCTTTGCTAGAAGCATCACTGTTTTTATGAAGAGACTCATATCCAGTAGCAAGGTCTTCAATATCGACCCAGTTTCGGTACATTTCTGCCCTTCGAATGGCTTTAACAACATGCTCATCTTCTGAGAAATCATTGTAGTCAAGATCTTGGTGATATCGAAGCAAGAAGGAGGTAAAATTTAGAGCTAAATTCCTCTCATCAGAAACACTTGAATCAATGAATGAGTCTAGATTTATTTTCTGTAAAATGTCCCTATCTGGCTTAAATCTGGCATACACCTGAGGGTCATTTTTAAGGAATGTGAATAATAGCTCCAATGCCTTCACTGAACTACTTGAATCAGAGCTGATACTGAGAATACTCACAAGATTAACAAGGAAAGAATCAACAATTTTGGTATCTCATTTCGAAGGTAGTTTCGCAAAATGGCCGACCTTAGTTAAAAAGTGCTCAACTAGATCACTATTAATCTGAACTTTTTGGAGCTTTTTTGAGAAATCTTGAATAGCATTTATGACTTCTTTCTCTGAAGCCAGAAGGTTCTTCGAACTATTTTTCATTTTAACCAATTGATAATAAATTCAAATAATTATAAATATTTTGGGGTTTTGGGGTTTTGGGGTTTTGGGGTTTTGGGG